TTTTTTTTTTTTTTTATATCAAATGCTTTCGTAATAGCATTTTCCATGACGACTTGGAAGGCCTCTTTTGGCAAAGAGGTAAAAAGTAATGTTTTGACTTCTAATTTTTTGTGGATCAAATTATTCAACCTCTAATGTTTATATCAATTTTTTGTAGATCACTTCTAAAAAGTCATTTATTTATATCAAATTTATAAAAGGGAATGTCATGAATTTTAAGGAGGAAAAACTCGAAAATGAAATTCAACCGTAAATGGGGCAAGAAATTCAAGTAAACTATACTTTTTATATTTAACCACGATTACATTTGAATTTAGTGCATAAATTTAGTCAAACCAATTTTTCTTATCGTAGGGGCATGTGGCATCAATGGCATATTTTAAGGTTTTCTTTTATTTTTTATTTTTGGGTCAACATTCTAAGTAGTTAGATTTTTAATTTGTTAATAAAATTTTAGTGTACTACTTAAAGGGTCACCCATAGAAAATATTAAGCAGGCCTACACTTCAATTATCTGACTTTTCTATTTTGCCATATCCTTATCTTTCCTGGCCAAAATGATGAGAAAACTTCCATAGCAATTTCTTATCACAAATTTTGTTCCTTACTTTTCAATTTCTTATTCTTACTTAAAAAATTGAAAGTTAGAACAAAATTATTTTTGTTACTTTATTAATTTTAAGTTATTACTACTCCACATCACCTAATTAATAATAATTTTTACAGCCAAATTAACGTTTCTCTTTCTTATGTTATTATTATTATTATAGATAATTATCTATTCATTACGTAAAAATTATTTGTTCCTAAAAAAAATTATATAACATTATTTAAAAATTTTAACTTATCATAAATTTCTTAACCCCTAATTTCTGACATAACCCTCATTTCTAATTTCACAATTTAAAACCGTTAATTGAAAAATGATTTCGCATTCATCAATTCAAAACCCTAATTCAAAACCAAAACCCTCATTTCTGATTTCACATTTAATAGAAAACCATAACCCTAATTTTCTTATTTCAAACATAATATTTAAATTTTGCTAAGCAGATGCAACATTCAACAGATTTCACATTGAACAGAAATCTGATTTCACATTCAATACAAATCTGATTTCACATTCAACAGATTTCACAATTATAAACAGATTTAAGATAAATATAAACCATTCAACCTTCACATTCAACAGATTTCTAAACAGATTTCACAAATATAAACCCTAACCCTAACCCTAACCCTAACCCTAATTTAAAATTTAAGATTTCACATTGAACAGATTATCTATAATTAAAATTCAACAAATTATCTATAATTAAACAAATTCAACAAATTATCTATAATTAAAATTCAACACATTCAACAAATTATCTAACCCTAACCCCAATTTATTATTTCACAAATATAAACCGTAACCCTAATTTGTTATAAACCGTAATAAATTCATTATTTCTGATTTATTATAAACCGTAACTCTAATTTATTATAAACCGTAAACAAATTCAACAAATTTATTATTTCACACATTGAACAAAAATTTCACAAATATAAACCGTAACCCTAATTTATTATTTCTGATTTCACAACATTTTATTCACGAATATAAACCCTAACCCTAACCCCACATTCATAAACTCTAACCCTAATTTATTCACAAATATAAACCCTAACCCTAACCCCACATTCATGAATCCTAACCCTAATTTATTCACATTTTCACAAACATAAATATATTCACAAATTTAAACTCTAATCCTAATTTATTCACAGTAAAGTAGATGATAGAAGCCATACCAACGAGAGAGAGAGACAGTACTGAATCAATCAGGGGGAGCTCCAGAGAGAGAGAGAGAGCAACGAGCTCCAGAGAGAGAGAGAACAGAGAGTAAAGAGCGAGAGAGAACGGAGAGTACAGAGCGAGAGAGAGACAGCAGTGGAGAGGAGAAGAAAGCGTGAATGGAAAACACGGGGCTGGGGAGGTTTAAATAGAAGTTCTAAAATCGTGGTTGTGAACCACGATTTCACTTAAAGAAAAAATATTTGGTCTAAACTCGTAGTTATGAACAGCGAGTTCAGAAGAATTCTATTTTTTGATGAACTCGTGTTTTGAAAAAGCGATTTCACCATGAAATCGTGCTTGTAAAAAGCGAGTTCAAAAGAAGTTTAATCAAACTCGCGTTTTCTAACAGCGAGTTCTTAATCAAACTCACTTTTCCTAACAGCGAGTTTCAACTTTTACAGGTTTCAGGCGACGGGGGTGAAAAAGTGTTGAACTCGCAATTGTGAACTACGAGTTAACTTATTTTGAAAAATCTTTCAAAAATTAGGCTTAGTTTGAGAATTCCTTTATTATTTTGACTTATTTAGGGAAATGACCCAAGTCCAACACCTTCAAACTGCACCGCAACTCACAGTGTCACTGCCACTGCCACTGCCACCACCGTCGCCGACACCAATCCATATCTCCATGGCTGACAACAACAACTGCCGCCCCCTCAAAATCATAGCCGGAGCAGACTCCTTCGGCTGCACCCTCAAGGACGCCCTCGTTTCCCACCTCCGCTCTCTCAGCATCGACGTCGAAGATCTCCCCACCGACAAATACTACTCTGTCGGCGAAGAAATCGGCCGCCGCGTCTCCGCCGCCTCCATCACCACCACCGAGACACGCGGCCTCGTCGCCTGCGGCACCGGCGTCGGCGTCTCCATCTTCGCCAACAAATTCCCCGGCGTCTACGCCGCCACCTGCCTCACCGCCGGCGACGCCGAGAACACCCGCTCCATCAACAACTGCAACGTCCTTGCCGTCTCCGGCATGTCCACCTCCCCCGAATCCGCCATTGAAATCCTCGACACCTGGCTCAACACCCCCTTCAGATCTCCATGCCCTGCCTCCGATTCCAAACCCTGGCCCCCTGAAATCGATTCCTTTCTCGACAACTCAATCCCCGAAATGTCAAAAATCGGACCCAATTTCCCAACAACCGAATCAGACACCTGTGCAATCTGTTGCCTGACTAAGACCCGAGAGTTCACTCCGATTGAGGTAATGCCTGGTGGGTCGATGAAGATACTCAGAGAGACACCTACCTCGGCGATTGTGAGGTTCAAGGCTGGGAGTGTAGAGCCGGCTCATCACCACACGTTTGGGCATGATTTGGTGGTGCTGAAGGGTAGCAAGAGGGTGTGGAATTTGAGCAAGAAGGAGAATTATGATCTGGGTGTTGGTGATTTCTTGTTTACGCCGGCTGGGGATGTGCATCGAGTGAAGTATTTTGAGGATACTGAGTTTTTCATCAAGTGGGATGGACATTGGGATCTTTTGTTGGATGAGGATATTGATACTGCCAATGCTGCTATTCAGAAGGAGATTTAGTTGGGTGGGTTGATGTGAAAATGGAGGTATGTTTGATTTGATTTTCACTTGTCTTTGAATAATGCTGGTGATGCGTTTTTTTCTGTATCAGTAATTCTGCTATGGTTCAGGTGTTATAGACGTATGCTTTTGTGTATGTTGGATACTTGGTCTGTTGTTGAGTAAGGGTTTGCTTAGCTTTGTATATAATATATGTTGTTATGAATGAAGCTCTGCTTTTTTAGTTGTTGATAGAAGTGGCATAATTCAACCTGATTTGCCGATCTATTGAAACCAAGTGGGCTGTGTCTTTTTGGAGAAATGTGTGTTTTAGGTATGTTCAGCTGATCAGTATTGGTTACTTGGTATGGTTTTAATAACAGTATGCTGAGCTTTGTATATCATATTGTTGTTACCTTCTTACTAAGCTGATAGAAGTGGCAGAATTTAAACTGACCTGCTGACAGATCAAAACCATTTGGAATCAAAACCATTTGGAATGTGAATAACTAGTTGTGGGCAAGGTTTTAAATAACCGTTGCAGCTACTGTAATGGTAATGATAGCGTTGATTTGGTTGCGGGGTATAACGGTCGCAGTGTAACAATGGTGGCAACCGGAGCCGTGAATTTGTCAATTCTTTGCACAACTTTAGGAAAATATACTAATATGCACGTATTTATTTCATAATCATATTTAGTGAGGTTCAAAATAATTTTTGATGTGTTTTGTTTAGTTTTTAAATATAATCTAATATATTTACTAATTTTTATACTAGTTTGAAGTTGTTGCGGCGATTTTTCCTATTATTAGATGTATTTATTTTTCTTTACTTTACTAATTATACTTATGGATAACTTCCCATTTGTTAAAGGGGGGAAAAAAGTATGTTTAATATTAAAAATAATAGTCTGTCATAATACAAAATGTCAACATACTAACGTAAAAGTAAACAAAGCTCATTTAATAGCAACTCAAGTCTTGAGAATTTGAAGATTGGATATTCAAAAATATAAATTTAAGATTTTTTCATAATTTCTGTGTTTTTTTTGTGTGATTTTAACAACTAGAAAAAGGAAAAATGATAAAAAAAAAAATAGCCATATATGCAAAATCTATCAAAAATAGAAGCGTAACGGTTGTAGCGGTTACGGTAGTGAATTTATGTCACACTGCTATAGCTACTGTAAGGGGTGGTGATAACCACTGAAACCATTACGTAACGGCCACTTTTTAAAGCCGTGGTTGTGGGGAACAATTTGTTTTATGTCAGTTTGTGCAGTCACACCAACACTTATTTTGAATCAAGGGTGTCTGAGAATATAGCACTGAGATCTTTGCCTATATATGCTTAGTAAAATTGGCAAATTCAATCTGACTTGCTGACTCTTGAAAACCAAATGGACTTTCTTTTGTCAGAACTATAGCACTGAGATCTTTGCCTATAGATGCTTAGTAAAATTGGCAAATTCAATATGACTTTGCTGACTCTTGAAAACCAAATGGACTTTCTTTTGTCAAAACTATAGCACTGAGATCTTTGCCTATAAATGCTTAGTAAAATTGGCAAATTCAATCTGACTTGCTGACTCTTGAAAACCAAATAGACTTTCTTTTGTTAAAACTAGTTGTGGAGAAAGCTCTCTCTCTCTCCCTCCTTCCCTCCCTCCGTGCACATGTGCTCACATAAACGCAAAAGCAGTCTTGTACCTTGTGCATGCCACCTTATTTTGAATCAATGGTGTTCGGAGTAGATATAATTTTGATTACTGATTAGCTTAGCTGTATGGAGTTTAGGCATGTCTATTTCACCACCTTCACGTTTTGATTCAATGTAGAATCTCTCCAGGATTTGTCTCCAAGAAAAAAAGAAGCCACCTCTGAGGGGTGCTCCCTTGCCTAGATTAGTTTTCTAAATAAATGTGGTTATGCTCTAAATAGTTTCTTGTGCCAGTTACCAGTAAGTTTGGGAGAGATCAGTTTTCTTCAAGATGTTAGGGTCATTCTGTGTAAGTCAAAAATCATACAGAATGTACAATTTTTGAGTTACAGTGGACAGGTTAATTGTTGAAAGACATCTCAATATCTCATGTTTTTCACACGTTTTCTCACGTATCTGACAACCTATTTGGGTATAATTGGTGATGTGAAGTGGATCCATGTAGTTGAAACCCACCGTATATGTTTAGTTGGGTAAGATTGTTGATTCCAATTGAGAACTTGTTCTTGTGCTACATTATTTGTCTCATGCATGATGCAGAATTGTGGCGAACAAAAAGAAAACAAATTGTATATTACATGATGGCCCCCCTAAATTCAATTTATCACTTAAAAAAATTTGCGAAGTCTACAATGTAGTAGAGTTGCCTTACAAAATTTGATGACTCATATTATGTTGGGGGATTTGGTGATAGACCCCTCATCATCTAACTTGTCCTTCAAAAGGGCAAGAATTATATATATCATTTCAAAACCCTCTATTATTTTAAAACTTGTTTCTTTTATTATAATACCCTCATATATATATATATATATATTAGATTTGTGTTCTTTTGCTCTCTCTCATCTCGTTCTCGATGATCTCTATCTCTACCGATGCTACCACCTCTCACCATAGAATTCTTTCTCCACTGTCTTCATCACCACTGTCGCTTGTCATGTCCATGACCTCATATCTAAGATCATTTACAATCATTGTCGTCGGAAAATGACGACTCACGATAGTTTGTGAATCTCATATTTGAAATCTTTCACTCTCTCTTTTTCTGGTTCTGATGGTTTGTACTCTCTCTATGTGTGTGTATGTGTGTCACTCATCATTTATGCTCTCTTTCACTCTCTCTTTTCTTCTTCTCATGCTGCTATGTTTTTGAACTTTGTCTCCCTATCTCTTCTTCCTCTTCTCATGATGCTTTGTTCTTTGAAAAGTAAAATTTTACTCTTGTTCATGACACAACCCTCTCTTGTAAATCCATCATCGCAACATGTTTTTACTCTAAATCAGAGTAAATTTTACTATGATTCAAAGTAAAATTTTACTGTTATTAAACAAATTAGCAAACAAACTTTATTTTCATTAACCAGAGTAAAATTTTACTGTTACAAAAAACAGAGTACATACTAAATGAACTGACCAGAATCGAATTTTACTTTTAGATCTATGAACAAACAAACAAAAAACTATCGTTTATAGAGATTTGATTCCTTTGTTATTTGATTGTTCGTTGAAACATGAGCTCTCTTTGGTAATCAACGACTTCGTGAATACAAATTTGGAGATCGTTGGAGAATGTGTAATACATATTCAGAGATCGACAACGAATCTGTGCTAGGGTTCCTGCAACTTGGAGAATAGATTTGAGATCGTCGAGTCTAATACAGATTGGAGATTGTTGACTTCGTTATTGATACAAATTTTCAAATATGTGATATATATATATATATATATATATGCAAGGGCAATATTGTCTAGAGAGAAAAAAAAGAAAATTTTAGTCTATCCTTACGGGAAATTCTATATCCACACATCTACTTGCCTCAATGCATATATTTTCTCAATGCACACACTTAATGATTGGATTATTAATTTTTGTTCTCATTCCATACACCAATTATTACATTCACACCCTTAACTCATATCTTATATACACACTACCTCGCCCCTTTTTCACATACCTATTCAAAATTGAAGAGTAACGGTCTACCCTATTTCGGTTCACAGTGAAGAAAACTCCATTGAAGAGATTGAAGACCCAAGACCCTCTATTGAAGAACCTCCATTGACAATAACTCCATTGAAGACCCTCCTCCTCCATTTGACACTAGTTCTGAAACCTGTTGAAGGGAATTATTACTTTGTTTCGATTTTGTTAGGTAACTATTACTTTGTTTTGATTTTGTTATCGCATTTGGTACCATTTCGTTTTCTCTGTCGAGTGTATTGACAAATTAAAATAAACCCTCGTTTTTTCCTTCCGAAATTCATCTTTTAATTCGACACTTAGTTTCCGAAATAGATTGAGTTTTTCAACATTATAATTCCAAAATATATTGATTTGTTCGACATTGTAGTTCCGAATAAAATAGAATATTTCAGCATTGGTTTTTCGAATTAATCACAATAATAATAATAATAATAATAATAATAATAATAATAATAATAATAATCTACATGAAAAAACTAACATTTTCATTATTGCTTTTGTTTTCACCAGGCATATTTTTACTTGATTTTGAACTTCCATTGGTTTGTAACTCTTCTATAACAAAATCAAGAATAATTGTGGAACTAATGAGAAAACGATAAATAATGGAGTATAAACTTAGAGAGTAAAGCAATATGAGAGTTGTTATGAAAGTATTGCTTTGCAAGCAATAGAGAAGTATAAAGTGTGTAACAAGTAAAGTTAGAAACAATTAAAGAAGTGACAAATAATGAAGAAATTAGGATTTAGTTTTTTTTTTTTACTCAAAAGATGTAGACTGAGATTTTTTATTTTTGTTTTTAAAATATGTGTACAGAGAATATTTGGATATAATATTGTGGGCGTTGGTGGATGTCCATTATAGTCATTTTAATTTAGGATATAATTGTCATTAAAATAATATTTTATTAAGTGTGTAAACTGAGATAACTAGGTGTGTGAGAATAGAATTTTTCCTGTCCTTACTCAGCTATGCACCTCCTCTTTAGGAGATTTATGAAGCAAAATAACTTAGGTTGTTCTTCACCCAAAACAAAGGCCCAATAAGGGAGTTTTCACCAAAAACCCTATAACGTTCCCATAAACATTTACAATAATGTTATAATAATTATATTTTCTTACCATGTTTTGTTTACCATTTTATATGTCAATGTTACTCAAGCATGAGTGGTTAACATTAGGGATGTGAAATCGAACCGCAACTCACCCGAAACTCGCTTGCACCTTGGCTAAGCCGGACTAAGCCTAAGCCCAACCTGAGGTCCTGTGCCCTCTATTTTGAAGCACGGCCAGGCCCGTTTGGCCTGGTCCGCTGACCGCTCCAAGGCCCGCTCGAGGCCCAATGTCTTTTTTTGTCTATTTCGATGGAAATTTTTTTTGAAAAAAGTCAAGGGTTGCCCAAGCTCGAGGCCCAAGTACCCCTTGGGCCTGGGCTTAGATTTTTCGCAAATGTGCCTACTTGGGCCAACCCAAAATTTGACGGGAGCCTGTGAGGGCTGACTTTGGGCCAGGCCGAGCCAAATTTACACCCTTAATTAACATAATAAATAAATTGTGATAAAAAAATATAATCATCCTAACATTATTGAAAATTTTAATCTGGCCTAGGTTAAAAGCTTTATAGCAATCACATGTTTTTGTAATAAACAAATAATATAATTTATTTAATTGGTATGAAATCATATTAAAAAAAATAATTACTAACTATTAAATTTTTAGGGAAAGAAATAGTTACTTGTAGTGTTTTAATACTTTATTTAATGGAATTCGTAGTAAAACTTTATGGACCTAAGAATATTAACCTCCTCACTGTTTATATTTATATCTTTAGATTTTGACCTCCTCAACGATGCAATTTGTACAAATAATATTTAATTGAGATAATTATCTTATAATTTTATTGGTCCAATTAGTCTCTATTGAGTAATATTTATTAATTATTTAATCAAATAAAATTCTAGCCGATCCATCAACGGCTCAACAAATTTATCCTATGGCTTCTCTTTGGCAATCTAGCCACCCCACCGAACAAATCTTGACTCCACCCCTGATTAGTATGGGAAAATCATCTTCGAAGAAGAACAAACTCTTATGTTGTGTTTGGTTGAGGGATTTGAAGAGGGATTTGGAAAGGGAAATGGAAAAGGTAGGTGAAATATGAATAAAACATGCCTAAATTTCACATAGTTTCACACACCTTTTCCCTTTCCCTTTCCCTTTCCAAATCCCTCCCCAAATCCTCCAACCAAACACACCATTAATAATTTCGACAATCAATTTTCATTAGATGGAGGAGCACAAATCCAGTGGTCCAGGCTTCGAGGGCCTCCTAAGATCCTTTTCGGTAGGCCAGAAAGTCCCAAGGCTGGGGTTGTAAGAAGGTTTGCCAAGATTGTGCCGAAGTGGTAATGGGCAAGACTTGGGATGTGCCAAATAGAATGCTGATCAATGCATTATTGGGGGAGATTGGAGATACAAGCTTCTCAAAGTTTCAAAATCAGGGTTGAAAGATATCGAGGGAGGTTGGAGATAAAAACATCTCAAAGTTTCAGAATCAGGGTTGAAAGAAATCAAGGTGGAGTTTCCAATGTAGAGGGACTCGTCGCTGTGTCCATGGCGGATGAGTGCCCCACGGGTAGCAGTGACCTAGGCTAATTTTTATTTTTAAAAATTTTAAAAAGTTTATAATTAATTTTTTCTGGATTTATTTGTTATTTTTTAAATTTAAAATTTTTATTTTTATTTTTATTTTTTAGTTTTTGGACCCTCCTAGACTAGAAAGAAAAGTAAAATTTTGACACAAATCTTAAAAAAAAATCACTGAAGACCCAAATAGAGACACCACTTAAATGACCCAAGATTCAAGATTCTAAATGACCCCAGATTCTAATTAAGGGCACATAGTGAAGCACAACATGGCATGCCCTAACAGTTCAAATTATTGCTTGAAGCTTACTTCTGAAGAGAAAAGTGAACCATATGGCATTTCCTACCAGTTCTAAAGAAACATGCATGGTATATAGCTGGTTCAGCTGGAGGTTGAGTTGTTGAGTGATAGAAATAAAAAAAACAACAAAAAGATAGGTACCCATGAATGCTTATGATTGACATTTAATTGCATGATGCAACAACTGATGTTCTACAGTTACATGTAATTCCAGTTAAATTACATACATGGTGATGAATATACATACGTATTCCCGTCACAGCTGCCTTCTAACTCAGCAATTTGAGGCAATGCTTGCACGGTGGTCTTTGAATGAAAATTGCAATGCATTAGACAAGACTCAACTCGTCAGTCAAAGAAGCAGCTTCAGTAAGGACTTGGGATTCAATCTTCTTTCGTAATGCCACCAATTCCTCCCCACCATCACATATATAGGCCGAGGCTTGTCTCCCAGATAGGGTAGCACCTTCCATGCTGTCTATGTAATCCTGCAGGGCGAGGCCGAGAGGAGCAAAATAAAATAAGAAGCTATATTCTACAAGAATCGTCCTGGCTAGCAAATCATCCCTGTAGATTTTGCTAAACTAAAATTGAAACCTTTCCTTGTGAAAATACTACGGATATTTCACAAAAGACATGATTAGAACCATCACCAACATATGATCTACCATAACATTAACAAATACAGTGCTGTGTGGTTTCCTTGAGAAAATTTCATCACAAGCCCGAGCACAAATATGACTGATTACAAAGCATGATGAATAATTTTCGCTATAGATTAATCATTCAACATCCATCAATATCATTTTTGTTAATCAAATTATCATGCACAGGTTGGGTATGTAATAATCAATCATGGTAACCATACACAGAGAGAGAGAGAGAGAGAGAGCAACCATCACCTGCTTTGTATATGAGCCAGCAAGGAAGAAATTTTTCACAGGGGTCTTCTGATCAGGTCTAAATGGATCTTTACCAGGCCCCTCACGATATAACGATTGCCCAATCTTGACTACAGATGACCAAGTAACGTCCAAACCTTGGGAAGATGGGAATAAAGCCAACACCTGATGTGAAAATGTACCATATTATAACAAGAAACACGACTTTGAAATATGTGCAACTATCCTTGGCTTAAATTGGTTTTCTGTAAATTTCATGATACCAAGATTGGCTTGTCTGTTGTCAATCAAAAACTTTCATGTTTGGTGTGGACATCTCATGCATTAGCATGCTAATGAATTCATGAGATTTATAGTACAAATTTTCTTATGGGCATTTTTGTTTTTGTTTTTTTCCTTGACTACCCAAAATAGAAATGTTACAAAATCAGCTGAATTTGTTTACGCCTTTACCATATTATTACTATTAGTAATAGTAGTAGTATAATTACTATAATACCCTTTATTTTACTTTACATGTTTTAACTGAAAAGAACCTCATTCTGTGCAAGAGCATGTGTGTTAGTCTATGAAGCACGGACACCTCTCCGAGGGCTCCATACCAGTGCCGGACACGCAGTGGACACGTGTTCGACACGCAGCAGAGAGTGTCCCATTTTTTTTTTTAATTTTTTTACATCCGGACACGTTCAGGACACGTTATAGACACGTTCGGACACGTACGGGGGTAATTTCACAATTTACTAAATTTTTTTGGGGTCGATTTGTAAATAAGGAAAAACATATCAAAATTTGCCCTAATCTACTTCGAATGTAGTTCAAATAAAAGAGAAACAGCAGAGAAATGGTGAGAAAGAGAGGACCTGACTTCGTCATTCATCGTTCGTCGTTCGTCTTCTCTTCTCGTCGATCGTCGCTCCTCGTCGGTCGTTAGTCGTCTCTTGCCCTTCGTCGTTAAGGTACACCTCTTCTTCTTCGATCTTCGATCTCCCTCAATCGCTCTCTCTCTCTCTCTCAGCCTGTCTTCTTTTCTCAGTCGATCTCTGTCTCCTCTGTCTTCTCTCTCTCGCCCCCTTCTTTTATTTTGATTTTTTTTTCTTTTATTCTGATTTTAATTTAATTTTTTCTTTTATTTTATTTTTTTCTTTTCTTTTATTTTATTTTTTCTTTTCTTTTCTTTTATTTTTTCTTTTATATTCTGATTTTATTTTTTCTTTTCTATTACTTGAGTATATAATTTTAATAATGCATGTTTATTAATTTTATTATAGAAACCAATTTTTAATTCTGAAACAATGCTACGGGTGGTTAATAGTGTTATTTTATTAACTTTAATAGTGTTATTTTGTATATTTTATTACATGTTAATGATTTTTTTTTATAATTTTATGACATATAATAAATAAAATTAATTATATATATTGAACGTGTCCCCAGCGTATCGTGTCCCTTATTTTTTGAAAATTTGTGTTTTCGCGTGTCCGTGTTGTGTCGCTTGTCCGTGCTTCATAGGTGTTAGTGTTTCCAAGAAAGCAGTTTTTATAGAATAGACATGGACAAGCAGCACAACATGGACATACTGTGCCTGGGACACGTTAAAATTTATATTTTAAAAATTCATTATACGCTAAATATATGAATAATTTATTCAAAAGTAATAAAAAAAATTTTTTTTTTAAAAAAAAAAAGCAAGATAACACTACTTAAAATTAAAAGGACATATATTTCATACCTTAAATATCAAAATATTATTCCCGTAATATCATACTAAAGAATGAAAACAATTGTAGAATATTGAAATGCACATAATGTATTCATCTCACAAATATTTCAAAACATATTTAGAGTGCACAAGTGGCATTTCAAAGAATGTAGAACATCGTTTCTATGAACAGATTGTTTTGGTAAGCTAGGAAACGGAAACTAAAACGTTTTACAAACATGATGGAAACAATAAAATAAAAAAATAAAATAAAAAGAGAGGAAATACAAGGAAACATGAACAAAAGTATATCAGCATGTATTTTTAAGGCTTATCATTCAAAAACTGAACATGTGTAAGGGTTATATATTCATTTAGACAAAAGAAAACAATGCTAGAATTAGATAGTAAATGTTAAATTGAAAATGTTTAGAAAATAATGTGAAATATTTTATTACTATATAAAAGGAATTAAATTTTAAAACTTAACTTCTGGTTTATGTGGACACTGAAACAAATTAACCATTGAAAATCAAAATTCCAGTTTTGATCAAAACAAAGTAGTTTTTTTGGTGTGTTTCAACCAAAACTACATCATTTCAAGGGAAACATTTGGATTTGTCAACAAAAATGTCAAAAAGATTTGACAAAGGCCAATAATTTCATTTGTTTAAAAGAAAAAAAGAAAAATCGCATTTTGGCAGAGATTCTCAGGCAACCCACCCAATCTGATAGTTAAGGCTAAAGCATAGAAAATGAAGAGGAAAAGAGAGAAAATAGAGAAACAAAGACCAAAAGAGATAGAGTGATTAAGAGAGAAGAACCTGATATCCAGTTAGTGATGACCTTGACCTTGTGATTGAACCCAAATGTTTCGATTGAAATGATGTAGTTTTGGTTGGAGCACAACGAAACTACATCATTTTGATCCAACCATGGAATTTCAATCGGGTCATTTCAACCAAATAAAAACAAAATTTAATTCCTTGGTGGAATTTCCCATTTGGAGGTACATTATAGAGTGGGTTCTGCTTTTAGCCAACAAAGAACCAAGCTAAAAGGGGGGCTTCTCGTAGGGAGGATTCTGTAAGAAAAAAGGCCACCTTGATGTTTCTACTTTGGTTTTGGATTGTGGTGAAAATGAATAGGATTAGTGAGATATGTGATATTGCTATCTGGTTTGGACTTCTGGTGTAAATAACAATGGCTATTAAGGATAATAATTCTTATTGGAAGGGTCATGAACTATTGAATAAAACTCATTTATTCTCTGTATAGGCACTTCAAATCTGACACGTGTACTTTACTTGAGATCCATTAGTTCATTCAGATTTCACGTCCTGAAGTTTTGAAGACTTCACATGATTCAAGACTCTTGGTGGGTAAGGTTTTAGTAGCTTAAACTCCATGGAATTAGTTTTAGTTCATATGATGATATGTGTTGATTCTTGTTTTAGTTTACTGCTTATTCTTAGCCTGATATACATCTATGTTCTTTTGTATTTTTGTTCCCTTCTCTTTTTCACCGGAGGTACTAAGAGCTGGTGGTACTTCTATATTAGCCAAACAAGTGAAAGAGTGCTTTTGCTTGATCTTTCATTATATTAGAAATCAATGCATGTGTTATATAAGGACCTCGCAGATTGCACATATAAGTTGCTTTTATTTTATCCCAAAATACTTGCAAGAATATGTTTGTCACACCAGTTTAATTATTCCATGGCATCTCTACTATTTAACCTTTTCATAAATTTCCTGAAATCTTGGGTGTAATATGCTTGCATATCACTGTGTTACAATCAAACCAAGTTGCATTTCAGTAGGGGTTTGGTATTACTCTCTCTTTTTTTGTTTGCAGACAGAGGTGGGTTGGGTGGTGATGATCAGTGGTAACATGAAAGGTACTAGCACTTGGTTTCTTCCAAAAAAAAAGGTGGTAAGAGGTGTTCCTTAAATGACACTTACCTGTTTTGTAACTCTTTTTATGATTTCATCATTTGGTAATGGCATGTAGGGATCACCAGGTGTAAGCACACATCTGCAAGCAAAAAATTAAGGGCAAAAAACTTTTAGTAAGAAAGAATATGAATATGACAACACAATTAACATAGAAGTGGTAGGAGAGAATTATTCTGGAATATATTCATGATGCAAGGTAGAGTAAGTCGTAACTTCAGATTAAATTTTTTACAAAGTCTGAATGAGTTTAATAGCATAGTACATAATCAGAATCAAATGATGATACCGGAAGTCTCAAGGTATGAAACCAAGTATATAAATCAGATTAAGATCAACATGCAGAATGCTGGAGAAGCCAAAAACACCTTCATTTATTAGAACACAGAGTGTTTAAATTATACATCCAGATCCATTTCCTAACAATAGTTTGCATTTCTATAAGCTCATTTTTCTGATTAAATGAGCCACAATTGCTCCAGGGAATAAATCAACTTCCAGAATTGATCACACGTACCATGTACTAGTTGCATGCAGTCCTAGCAAATGAAATCTTCATCATGAATGATCTAGTAACTTAAGGATAATATTGTCATGAGCAAGATAGGCCAATATATATTGTATATAAAGAGAGACAGAAATAGGATGGTCGCAAAGATTCTGGTTTTGAATTACAGACAAATAAAAGGCTATTCAACTATTTCATTCAGCAGATGTAGCTTGTGGTTAATCAGTATTATTTTTCTCTACAGAAATAACAACAATTAATAATAATGACAACAACAGTATTATAAAACAAAACGAAGAGAATTTTCCTTACTGGAGCAATGAGCCTTGTCCCTTGAGGTAATAGTCTTCAGGTGATGAGAGTGCAAGGTCTGCAAAGCATGAGAAATCTGCATCTGGGGTATAAAGGAGATTATCCAACCCTGCAGCTTGCCTTAGTTGCCTAACATTTACAAAGTGGAAAATTTACTTAAAAATACATTCAAAAGGTAATTTGTTTTCCGTGGTCATGATAAGTAAAGTATATTTTATTCCTAGATCCCAAAGGAATCCACTTTCACAAACCAATAACTTCAATACATGAGAGGATCACCTTGAACGTTCTAAATCCTGTAACTCTGTGACCCAGCCGTTGTATCTGAGTTGCACTGTGACCACAGGCACACCAACTAGTTCATAAATATTATCAAAGAATTCCCACTCCCTCCATGTGGGTGGAAGTAATCTTTTAATTCCAGGGACATCACATGCTGCCACCAAATAGAGTAGTTTAGTATTATTAGTAAGGACATAAATAGTGAGAGTATAAATATACGGCAGGAAAGCCAACAACAAACCTGCAACATAAGCATCAGCTTTCACAATTTTCTTTTGAGTAGCCTGAAAGTTTAAAGGAAAAAAGTATTAAGCATCAATCATTTAAGCATCAGCCTTCACAATTTTCTTTATATCATCAGCTTTCTATTCATTGTGGTCCCTAATTCGATCATATTATTGATTTTTCCCATTTTAAAAACATTTGTTCGCTTCAAGCTCAAAATTATAGAAAGTTAATAGTACATGGTTTGGATCATTTTTGAGGTAGACTAAGGAATTCTCACTAATTTCACAAAGCTACATTCAAGTAACTATGGTTTCCTTTTTTCCCCATTTATTGTGTATCAAATTATCAAAAAACGAACCGCCTTTAAAACAAGTATATAAAGATGAATAAAAAACTAAATTATGAAGATTCCATAGTTCAAATCTTTCTGAGGATAAACTGTTACTTTCAAAAAAAATTTAACCACAATAGTAACAGAAAAATTCACGAGATTTCTTAATGGCTTTGACATGGATTTACGTAGTTGAAATAAAAATGCATAACACTTCAAATTGTACAAGCATGTGTTAGAAAAACGTAGGAGACTGAACTGCAATCCAGAGTAATGTAAGATATCACAGGAATTCAACTGGTTGACTTGCAAAATCCAGACACTCGGTAACAATAAGCTTGATTCCACATATTCTGCTTAAATAAATATGGATTTAAAGGCAGTAAAATTTTAAAAGGAGGAAAATGGGAGTAATTAAGCTTACTTTTGACATGGCAATTCCTGTCACGTATGTCTCTCCATCAGTAGATCTGTCGTAAAGTATCTCTCTACATCCCCACCTGAGATGGAACCTGTTGTAGCAAAAAGTATTTTCCAGGTGAGAAATCAGCAATTCTTTGTGAAGACAAACAACCTTAAATGTTATCACATCATGGTCATGTTAAATTTACATAGTCACACCTCCCCCCTTTGTCTGTGATATACTTTTTGATTGGGCCACTTAAATAAATGTCGGGGGAACCTTTAAGCATGCGCAATAAGGAAGCTTCTGTTTTTGTGGCAAACAATCCAAATATAGTGAGCATACAACGGGCGCTGATATTATCACAATCAATAAACCCAAGAGCATAAGCAACAGGATCCCACATTCTCTGGATACTTGCACGTGTGCCACCTTTGGACAAGAACCAATCAGAGAAGCTTATCTGTGTAGTGAAAAAAAATTTCATTAACAGGCAGTCAAGATAAGATACGTTCTCCACATGAAAACTGATTTAGTTCCTTTGGAAACTAGGAGTGGTAACCAAATGCACTAGACAGTAAGAAATCATTCTTACGCTATCCAGATTCCGTATGTCCCTCATTGCTCCATCTGGATCAACAAGAGCCCGCACAACAGGACTTAAGGCAAGAGCCAAAGCATTTCTTGCTTTGTCATAAGGCTGCAGTTGAACAATATGAAGTGGAAAGAACATAAATGGAGAGCAAAAGTAGGCATTGTTTGCTTCAACTATTTGAATAAATCCACGAGAAACTTTATTTTCCTTTTTTCCCTTTTGCTTTTCAATCCAAGCACAAAATTAATATCATGTAGATTAAGTGTTAGTATGGGATAGCAGTCATCAAAGGATCTCTTTCAGGCTGATTATCATAACCTTTTCATGAAAAAAGATTAGTGAAGATGTGGTGCATCCCAGTTGCAGACCATGATCAAAGTTAACAAATTTAAGAATAAAGTTGGAGTCCAAGAAGCAGATAGGCAAGACTTTGATTCATTTCTTTAAGTTATAAAGTTTGAAGGCATTTAGTCACGTTTTTATGTTCCCAAGGCAATTTGTTAAAACTAGTAGAACGCCTATTTTGGTAACTTTAGTTGTGATTTTGATAAGGCATTATAAGAATGTTAAAGTTTATGGTTTTAATTTCAGTTTTTAGAGTTCTATTCAGAGATTCCTGAAAGAAGAAATGGCCATTTAGGGCTTTCTCTTCGCCTGTTGCCACTGCTTCTTGTTTCTGTGCATTAATCTAGTCTTTTTCTTTCATTTTTCAGTATCAAGATGTGTGTTCAAGGTTTCTAAGGATTTTAATTACAAAGGAAAGCAAATATAGCCAATGCTCTTTTGGGGCTGTGAACATTACTAATGACCAGATTGGGTGCTGGTTGGTGCTGCTAGGGTTGAACTATTGATGATGGAAAATGATTGGGCTTGTCTTTCATACTGGTAGTTTGCTGGAGGCAAGAGTAGTTGAATTTCTGGATGAAGACTATTTAGAATGCCAGACAGAAGGCTTATAGAGGGTTGATAATGGTTAAAACTGATGTTTTTTTTTTTGGTTGTTGTTGCAGATAACCAAAGAAAAGAAAGAGAATTAGAAGAGAAGGGGGGAAGAGTCTAGGCATCGCACCATAAAATTTGAAAAAAAAAAAAAAATGGCACAAAATGTTGGAAATGTCTATAGAACTTGTTCTCTAAAGAATTGCAAGCTAATTCAATTAGTAAATCTTAACCATAGACTATTATTTAAAAACTTAAAAGACTCTTTCCATTAAAACCCATATTAACCTATAAACTTTTCCTTTCTTCCTCCCCACCCATAAATAAGTAAAGGCACACACCCACGCCCCAAACAGAACATAAACTCTACACACCTCCCTTTTGAGATGGCAAGAGACATGCTCAAGTTAATAGCTTGTGGTCATGAACAAAAGATGCATTATGACAATTTGACCCAAATCATGACCCATGGGCAACTACTACTCCTGAATCCTAAAATATTAAAAGCATATATACACAACTGAACAGAAGCTTATTAAATTAAGAAAGAAAATAAAATATGACTTAGGGTGACTCAAAGTTAATAACGCAAAGTCATCAATGGGCCCAGCTTCTAATGCAAACAATTTCCAATATCCCCTCTTCTTCAGATTTGTTCTTCAACATCTTATTATGAACTGCATGAAAAACATGGCTTGTCCAATGCTAAACATGGGGTTCTCGCATGGATGGGCTCTACACAAATAAATTGGAATAACATTCAAGATTCAGTTTAATAGGAAACTATAATAGTAGACATTACCTTGAGCTGATTTGTAGACAAAAAAGCACGAATTCCATGCAATGGTGCTCCAATTGGAAACCTAAAATCCAGTTCTGCAGCAGGAAACTAAGTCATATATGCAACACCAAAACCAATGATTAATGTAATTAATATACCACACAAGTTTGGCTATGGCCAAAACAAATGGTTTCAAATCAGTCTTTCAAGTAAGAATTATGTCATACCACCAATTTCACCCCCTTTGTTTACAAAAGTATGAGTATGATCCTTCACAAGCAGATTTTTATCAGCACCAACCTAGGTCAAAGTAGAGATCCAAGAAAAACAATCAGAGACCATTGTCTTGAGAAGATTATGTAACTAAACTACAATTTCATATAGTTAACAGAAAGCAAAAGGGTTTTTTCTAAAGAAAATTCATGGAGCCGGCTTAGTGCAAATGCATCAACAGTTATCAATCCACAAATCAACTACAATGAAATAACTTAAACATCCAACATTTCAAACATGCATAGGGAAGTTTGAGATTAATCACATAGAAAAAAGCAAAATCACCTAGTTACCACCATTATTATACGAAATCGCACCAACACAACTAATGGTGTAGAGCTTGATATAATCCACATATAGGGTCATAAGAGCCTTTTATCATATATTGGAAATAAATAAGGGGTCCAAGTTTTGCACACTCAAGTCCATTAGCAGAGTTAAGGAACTAACAAGTTAAGTACATGCCTGAGTTTATTCTGAGCAGTCCTGCCAATAACAGATACACTAAACTGCATACAAAAGGGTCTATCTAAAAGCTATGTAGTCCAAACTCAAGCTATGAGACGAACTAACCAAATGCAGAGCCATATTCTTCCATTCTATATTCAAAAGCGAGCCCATAATTGTGTAGGCACATTGGGAGTGCATTGAAGGCATTAGTAGGTCATGAAGATGTATGAGCAATACATCATTGGCACAAGTACATCAGTACAGAAGCTTCTTGGCATCCTAAGCCAATTAATCCTCTAGATTTCAGCGTTAATTCACCCATCATTTCAATATCTTATTATATGTAAAGCAACTACAACAATGAATATTTCTTACCAACAGATAAGATTTAGTTCCTCGCTCATTATCATAAACAGATGTCATACAACAATCAAAAGCACAAAAAATCGAAACATTTTGTACCATAGCTAAATTATTAGGACATAGATATTTGATCCTACAAGCATCCTAAAAGGCACTGTTATATCAGTTATTACCACAAAAGATCAATGGATCAAATATTCTAGAATATGGATGGTCCTTGTTTCACATATCATGCTTTATGATCATGAAAATATTCTTTATTTGCAGCTTAAAAGCTATGGGGCATAAAGAATACAAGAAATGAAATTAACATTAAAATCTAAAATATCAATAAATAACTTTGTGAAAACAAGCATGTGGTCTTCACCTTTTTCATCAATCGAAAAAGATTATTGTAACAACCAAAGAAAACATGAAGTCCCATTTCAATGTGATTTCCACGTTTATCAACAAAAGAACCGACTTTTCCACCAATGAAAGATCTTGATTCGTATATGTCCACCTGAAAAGTCAACGACGAATTTAAGTAAAATCTAGCCATTATCAGAAATTAAAAAAAAAAAAAAAAAAACTACCCAAACAGAATGAACTTCGCAGAAAACCAAAGAGGAAGTTCTTATGATTTGAAGGAACGTATTTATGTTTTATTATATCAAAGTAGGAAGAAATCAATTTTCATTTCTATTGGTTGAACAAAAAGTCTTAATATCTGTAAAAAGCTCTAATTTCAAACAAATTGGAAGTTTTAGATTTTTGAATTTCAGTCTAAAATTGAAAAGCCTAAATGTGAAAATATTAAAAGATTTAAATTCACTTTGTTTTTATTTTACTCATTGGCCCCCAAATGATTTCCTTCATACTTAAGACAAGACCAATAACTTAATGTTTGCTTAAGCAATAGACACATGTAGTGTATGAAGTGTGCTAGAAAGATTAAAAAATATTAAGACACATTTGGATACGTGTCTGAAACATGTTGGTGTTTGACATGGAAAAACAAAGAATGAAGAAAAAAAGAAATACAAGTATGGTCAAGGTAACGGAAACAAGTGTTAGTTAAACCCCAAATGTGAGCATTGGCAGAATTAGTGGGAAAGAAGAAGAATACTGAACCTCATGGCCCTGATCCAATAGCTCCACTGCAGTTGACATGCCTGCAAGACCAGCTCCAATGATAGCCACTTTTAGTTTTGGTCCCCTATAATGTTCAGGTTCTGATGGAAATAATCCTTTTGGAGCTGACAGATGAGAAATTCAAATGTTGATACCCAAAAATAGCACCACAAAATAATGACATTTAAATAAGATTAACAAGGATAGACCGGATAGTACAAGGAGAAAAAAAAAGAAAAAAAAAAAGAAACAAGATTTGTTTAACTGCATAATCCTTACATGATGTTGTATATTTTCTTGGATAGACTTCCATAATCAAGTTCTTCCCATCACACTAATAGATGAAAAAAAAAAATACATCTACAACTATCTTGAGGAAAAAAACTGAAGATGAGTAATGCGGAGAAACTTTTTTATTTGTTGCCTTTCTCAATCTTTAGTGTACTCCATCCAATTCCTTAATTTCTATTCCCTTGCATGAAAATTAAAGGGAAAAAAAAAGTATTTAAAATTAAAGGCAAATTTCACTTTACCCCCATTTGGTTTGGCTCATTTGCAGATTGACCCCCTTGTCATTTGAAAATAAGAGCATAAGAGCATAAGGCCCAGTTGTCTATGGACCAAGGTGCACCATTAACTTCTGTTAATGGTACCTCTAAACTTACCCAAATACCCTCATCTTTTTCCTCTAAACCCATATATATATATATATCACTTCCACTAATAGAGATAGTAGAGAGAGAGAGAGAAAGGAAGAACAAGTCCCTCCACCACCACCTCATCATCTGTTTGCTCTCTTTCTCTCTTTGTCCCCCTTTCTCTGTTTTTAGTCCCAACATTCATTAATTCATCAAAAGCTTAAGGTAGTTTAGGTTTTCAATGTGACCAAGCCTAAGTTCCATAAAATTAGTACATGATTATTTTATGAGACACCTTTACTTTTATGAAGTATTTAAGGCCAATGCCTTCCATGACATGAACACTTTGTTCTTCCATTAATATCCTTAGTACTAAGCTAAGTAGGGGAGTGCCTACTTATGTAGTTGTGATTTTGGTTGAAGAAGAGAGTGTGCATGTGGGGCTGCAAGTTGGGGAGGGGCAAGGGTTGGGGTGGTTCGTGGTGATGGAAAAGCTTGGGATTTTGATTTTTGATTATTGGTGACAGTGGTGGTGGAAAAGCTTGTCTACTCTTATTATGTTGGTCTCAATAATTTTAGGTTTGATTTTGATTTTGATTTTTGAAGTCCAATTCAAGGTTTGGGATTGGTTTTGATTTTAAAAGTAGTGAAAAACAATAGACAGAGAGGGGGGAGAAGAAAGACAAATAGTAGAGCGAGGAAGAGAAAGAAGAATGACTTCCTTTCTTCTTCTTTTTTTTTTGTAAATTTGAAGATGTATAAGGGTATTTTTGTCTTAGAAAAATGGTTTATTCTCTACATTAGCATTGGCTCTCATAGCCTGTAAACTTAGATCGAAAAGTTGATTGTGCACTTTGGTCTGCAAACCACAAGAGCTTATGTGCTTATTTCCAAATGCCAGAGGGTATTCGCATATCAACCAAACCACAGGGGCTAAAGTGAAATGTGCCTTTTACTTAAACCATGAGAAAACATAATTCCAAGCCTCTAAAATGGGCTAGACCGGCCAACCTAGAATTTAATTCCTAGGCCTTGCCCTGGAACAAACCTAGGACCATAGGTTTGATTTTGATTTTGATTTTTGAAGTCCAATTCAAGGTTTGGGATTGGTTTTGATTTTAAAAGTAGTGAAAAACAATAGACAGAGAGGGGGGAGAAGAAAGACAAATAGTAGAGCGAGGAAGAGAAAGAAGAATGACTTCCTTTTTCTTTTTTTTTGTAAATTTGAAGATGTATAAGGGTATTTTTGTCTTAGACAAATGGTTTATTCTCTACATTGGCATTGGTTCTCATAGCCTGTAAACTTAGATCAAAAAGTTGATTGTGCACTTTGGTCTACAAACCACAAGAGCTTATGTGCTTATTTCCAAATGCCAGAGGGTATTCGCATATCAACCAAACCACAGGGGCTAAAGTGAAATGTGCCTTTTACTTAAACCATGAGAAAACATAATTCCAAGCCTCTACAATGGGCTAGACCAGCCAACCTAGAATTTAATTCCTAGGCCTTGCCCTGGAACAAACCTAGGACCATGGGCTTTTACTGGTCAACAAGCTAGGCTCAGGCTGGCCCATTCAAGAGGCCCTACCCATGATCTTAAAAATATAGGCTTATGGGTTTTGAGCCAGGCTTGACCCATATGGCCTAATTGGGGCTTTACTTCAAATTTTTTTTTTTAGATTCAAAATTCATTAGAAAAATTAAGGAATTATAATACAAAATTTTGAAGTGCATCACAACAATTAGAATTGCATATTGAATTATGAAAAGTAAAATTGAACTTTATGTATTGAAATGCAAAATTACATCCATTATGATTATGTTATTAAATTATATAGATATATCTTTAATTTCGTGAAAATATAGTTACTCGTTTCATATCAAAAATGTATACATACACAAAAAGTACAAAAGGGTAATTACACTGACCCCTTCTGACATTTGGAAAAATACAGCAAGCCCTACTATTTTGACAAAACTACATAGACTTCCCTTTTAACAAGGCTAAAAGGACTGAAACTAATGCAGATGGTATGAAGGTACAAAGATAAACAAGTAAAATATATTTTTCAATGCAAAACATAAAAACATTATTTTCCCATCTATATGACTAACAATTATTGATGAAAATGGGATTAATTGTTATGTGAATTAAATCTCAAGGAAATCCAATATAATTATACCGAATTTGTGGGGTTTACTGTATTTTCTTCAAACCTCAGGGGAGTATAAATTACCCTCCCAAAAAAGAAACAAAGAAAAAAATAGTATATCCATTTTTTATTGTTTAGTAGGGGTGCAACTTAAGCGAGTTTGGTTGGATTGGGAGGTTGTCGAAGCCTAGCCCAGCCCAAGTTGAGCTGAGACTTGGCCACGCTCCCCAAACCCGAATTGTAACTCGAGGTTGTCTGCCCAACCACGACTCGAGTTAAACCCGACTTGCCCAAGTTACCCGAATTGTAAATGAATTTCAAAATTTTTTTTTTTTTTTGTGAAATTATTAAATTATTAAAATTAACTTGATTTACAATTTTTTTTTTTTTATAAAGAAAATCATTAATAACATCAAAACAAATAATATATATAATGTACGAGAGATGTCACTATAGTAGTCTTTACAATTGATGAGTGAGAATAAAAACGTAAGATTTTGTGTTATTGTATATATAATATATATCCAATACGATTTAATAATCTAAATTACATTAATATCATGTAATGGTTAATAATTTATATGTCTATTTAATATTTTTATATATCTATATATGTATAATTCGGACTTCGGGTTGTTCGGATTGTTTGATGTCTTTGCCCAAGCCTTTCCAAATTTAATTTAAGTTTCTGAATTTTTATTCAAGGTCGTACCGAATTTAAAAATATTTTATTCAAGCCGTAAAACCATTTGGACTGGACTCAGGTTGGTTGGGTTGAGCCCACCCAAGTTGCACCCCTAGTTTATAGGCCTAATACAATCCATCGGGTTGAGCTTATGGCCGACCCATGAGCTTTGGGCTTGTTGATGAGGCTAACATAATTCTACCCAACTTACCCAATATATTATATGGCTTACCCTCCACTTGGTTGTAGAGAAATCAAAGGAAAAGCAAAAGAAACAAATTGAGAATCTTATAAATTGTTTATTGTTTGGGTTTGTCAACAATCCAGCTAAACCAAAATGGTTCTGTTGGAGTCATTTCGGTATAATACATCTTATCTCATCATCCATTTACATTTCTGTATGTGGAAGGAAGCTCACAAATGCATGTACGGACAACTTGTTGGTTTCTTTTATTTTCTTTTGGTTTCTCAGAAGCTATGTAAAAGTATTAAGAAACAAAGGGAACATTGATCTCAACTTCACATCCTTCCCAACAGCCTTACAAACCTTATCCAAGTCTACCACACCAGTGGCAGAACCCAAACCACTTTTCTCTCTCAATTACAGTAAAAAGCAAAGAAATTAACTTCTAAGTGGACCAACAAATTCAAATTCAATTCAAATTTGATTAATTAATAAGGCACAAAACAATTTACCACAACTATGACCAACCAACAAAGCCCTAAAACCAGACACCCAGATGCAAGAACAACATAATCAGCAATCACAAACATCACAACACAACAGTCACCATCCACAGACAATACAAAGTCACAAACATAGACACACACATATACTTATGATGGAAATGGGGAAAATTGATGGAAGTACCATTAACGCTCATATCAGAGACATTGGAGTCCAAAGAGCATCGAACATCAAAACTTCGAGACTTGAATTGGGTCCTGGGACGGTGACCGGAGAGCAAGAATCCGGAAACATCGGGTCGGAGAGTGGTTCGGGCTCCGGCAGCTGAAGTTGTCGGGAAACAAAGAGAAGAAGATGCCATTGAATTCTAGAAAACAAAGAATAGAATTGAAATTCTATTTGTTAAGAGAGTGTTGAGATGAGTAGTAACATCATCCAACAACGACTTGTAGAGAGAGAGAGGGTATCTGGAGGGGTGTAGATGCTGAGGTTGGGGGATTTGTCAGGGCATCAGCTTAGGATTTGGAGATTGAATTTTTTTTTTTTAAAAAAAAGGGATTTTTAACTTTGGAGGAGGTTGTTAGTGCGGTTGGGGGAGAGGATGTGAAGTGTTGCCGCCACCACTGCTTATAAATATGCTCCCCAACAAACAACTTTTACAAAAACTAGACGTGTTGTTTATGCATTTTACAATTAAAAAACAAAAAAAAAAATATTATAATTTTATATTTTCTAACTTATAATTAAAAAGTATTTTATATCCAAAGATATTATTAAAAAAAATAGTTATAATTAAAGAAAGAAATCAAATAATTAAGAATGTATATGATATTGAAATTTCCAAATTATACATACACAATGCTTTTGCTTTGCTTTGTATTAAGATATTATCCCTGTACTGGTATAAATAAATAATCAATAATTAATTTTTAAATTAAAATAATAATATAAAATTTATTTAAAATATGTAATAAAAATCATTTATAATCAATTAAATTTTAGAGTGGTGCTACATCTTTTTAATTATACACTCCTAATTTTATCCGGTATACTTTTTTAGAAAGTGGTCCCACACTTTGAAGAAAATTGATTGGTTATTATTGGTTGTCACCTTATTAGAGGTGCAATTATAGGTGATGAAATGAGACATGGGGCATTTCTCTAAATTTTATTTATTTTTATAAGTTACACATAAAGAGGAGATTTTTATTCTGATGTCATTAATTGTGTGTTCTAAATTCTTAATAAAAAATTGCATATCATAATTTAATTGATAAAAATTAAAGAATAAATTCCAATTTATTTTATGATAAAATATAACTACATTTCGTTTTATAAGTTTCAGAATTTTAATTTAACATATGACAGTAACAAATTGTATTTGTTAAACTAATTGTTTTCTTATTTTATAAAACATAAAAATTTGTCTTCTCAAAATTATAAACTATCGTATATCATAACTCTTACATAAAAATTGATTATGATTGACTTGTGATATTAGACTAAATATTAGAAATGACCTAAAAGCTACGCAACTCAATATTTATACCAATGTAACATTCATCTAATCATTAAAAATTGTCTCTATTGGTCCGTGTATGAACTAATTTGAGGGTTTTAATAAATATTAAAAATTAGCCTGAAAAATCTAGTTTGAATCAATTTTTTTTTGAACAATTCTTGGTTTAAGTTTATAATACATCATATTTTAATAACTTAATATCATAAAAAAATAATCTTAATATTTATTGTGCTTTTTATTAATCAATAAAAAAGGGTAAATTACACTAACACCCCCTGAGGTTTATGTTTATTACAGTTCTCCCCTCACATTTGGGAAATTACATTGACCTCCCTTGTCAGTGTAATTATTTGACGGTATTAACTTTTAAGTTAAAATGACATATTTTACCCTTAACCTTTACATATACTTTAAAGGGTAAATTACATTAACACCCCCTGAGGTTTCAATTTAATACGGATCCCTCCTGACGTTTAAAAAAAAAACTAATTTAATAAAAATAAATATGAAGAAATATATTTAATTTGTAAAAATAATTTCTAACCACTCGAAAGACCAAAATTATATAAAAATGATAATTATTTTTTATTTTTTATTTTTTATTTCTTAAACAAATTAATTTTTAATTTTAAAAAAAAATTCTAAAAATCAAACCATACATAGCCTAAGAATTTTTTGATAAGTCATTTCTTACGTTGGTAACTTATTTAATTATTTGGTAATTTTACGACATTTTTACCATTTGAGGCCTGTTTGGTAACCATTTCGTTTTTAGTTTTCAATTTATATTTACAAAAATTTTAAAAATTGTCATAAAAACTTGTTTGATAATTTTTTTGGTTTATAAATGGTTGCCTCAGTTTGTAAATTTGAACGTAAATTCAAAAAATGAGTTTACGTTGATTTTTAAACAGAAATTTAAAATTTTAATTAACAAAAAAAAATTTCCAATAATTTTTTTTCCAATTAATTTTTTTTTTCAACTAATATTAACCAAGGGGGCAATTGGTAGTGCTACTTTAAACCTTGGGGAGGGAATTGTAATTTCTAAAATGTGAGGGGTGTCAATGTAATTTACTCAGCGAGGGCAAAATTGGCATTTAAAAAAATTAAATTGCTGACATTAGCAAAATCTGTTAGTTGAGTTAACAGTCAACTAACTGAGGGAGCAATCTATAATGAAACTTTAAACAAGGGGATGTAATTTTCAAAAGGTGAGGGGAGAACTGTAATAAACATAAACCTCAGGGGTTGTCAATGTAATTTACCCTAAAAAAATTATAAATATTTAGAGAATTACATTTGAACAAATTTTAACATAAATTTTTTACTTTAAAACTTTAAGAACTACACATTTTCTTTGACTCTATAACTAATATTTGAGATAGCAACTAAAATAAATTTCAATCATTATTATTGGGGGAGACATTTGTGATAAGAGTTTGAAGTACACAATTGTTTTTAAAAAAATCAATATGGAAAACATGTACCCAACTTTATGTTGTATTTTATCCATGGATTTGGATAGGAATTTAAAATGAGAAAGGAAAAGCTATGTGAAATATGAATAAAATATAATTACATTTTATTACACATTTTCATTGTTCCTTTCAAAATTTCTATCCAAAATCATGAATCAAATATATCATCAATATTTGAAAAGAGTTTTGGATCCTTTATTGTATAGATATACACTAACCAAAAAAAACATATATAATATTTGGTGGGAGAAGTAAGTTCTAAAAATGGATCATCAATCACATTATAAGGGAATAAAAGTTAACCAATAATTTTTTTTTAATTATTTAAAAAATTAAACATCAAGAGATATAATCTATGAAAGATATGAATTGATTCCTATATTTTAGTGGTAAAAAAATCTAAATTTTAAAACTAATTTTGAGAGATTTATTTATAAATCACGTTCAGAGACTTATAGCTCTAAGTCCACAAAGTATTCTAGTGTTCCACCTAATCCCATACATTTGAACTTATATTCCAATATATCATTTTTCTCATATTAGAAGTATTATGTGAACTATTTTACCCTATAGACTTTTATTAATATATATATATATATATATAATCATTTATTTGATTTTAATAATATATAAAATGTTGTATGTAAATATAAAAGATTATTATTCTTAGTCTTTTTTTTTGCTTTAATAATATATAAAATGTTGTATATAAATATAAAAGATTATTATTCTTAGTCTTTTTTTTTTGCTTTAATGTAAGGGATTCACTTTATCAAATATCTTCATTTACCATTATTTTACAATAAGCTCCTGCCATGTAAGAACATTTAAAAGAGAAGGTTAGTTGTACATGTAGATTGATGATAGAGATGATGATGGACTCGCAACAGAGTTGATGGTAAACCAGCCGATGAGCAATCTTTTTTTGCCATTGTTATACATAATGTGATGACCCAGAATTTTTTAAAAAAAAATAGACAGTGCATAATTTAATTGAGTAAATCTTCGGATTTGACTGATGTGTAAATTCTGTGCAAAAACAGTTCGATTTTGCTTATGTGCTAAGATGTTATATGTTTATGTGGGCATGGGGTTGAGTCTCGAGGATGTTGTGTCTGGTCCAGAAATTTTCTTAGAAATCTCATTGGAAATGTGCCTGATCAACGTGATTTCTAATAAGAGGTCTAAAAGGATTTCTAGAACGACTAACAATTTTTGTAGGAATAGCCCGATATATGTTATGTGTTTATGTGACTCTATGCTATTTGATATGCATATGTTGAGTTTTGTGTTGAAACATGAGAATGTACCTTAGTGGGAGGTATTGATGCTAAATGTTATGAATGGAATATATGTGGCCTTGCATGATTATGAAAATTGTTCTATTCAGTTGATTATGTGTGGAGTTAGTCTTGAACCTTTGGTTTGTATATTCTTGTATGTATTTGGGAAGAGGCGTGGTCTCGACATGGTAAAGATTGTGAATGAAGGTAAGGGATGTATTTCCCAAGAGAGAGATTGATTGTTTTGAAATTTGGTTGTAAAATCTATAAAGTGCAAACTATGTAAGGTTTAAAGATGAGATTTGAAATGGACAATATTCATAATTGTTGTTATCCTTATTTATTTATTTGTTTTGTCCCTGGGTGTCAGGGGGAGTGTCCAACACTCGTTAGTAAGAGAATTTTCTTAAAGGGAATGAGTTGTGTTTTGAGCCACGGTTGTATTTTCCTTTGGGGACATCTTGTGTCTAGTTGGTTAGTCTAGTGATATCCAAATAGAGTCTTGGAATGCCTCTACGAGTATGATAGTTTGGCGGTGTAATCTAGATTTTAGATTGTTTTGGCCGTGTGTAATTTGGGTAGTTTTGAGAACTAGACTCTCTTTTCCTTGCAATTGGGTGAGTTGGAATGAATTATGAGTTTGTTTGCAAAACCTTTGGAGGGTTGTAGACACCCCATTTTTGACCGACCTTAAGACTCAGACGTCATCGATTGAGTGCTCGGTGATGGTGCATGTTGTGCTCGTTCTGAAGTTTCAGAATTTGGCTGAGAGCTTTATCCTCGGACCTCGGGACCCTTTTGTACTTTGCCTCGGTTTGCGAACCAGGTCCTGTTTTCTCTTCCCGAAGGGAGGGAGAGGTCTCGTAGACCATCTCTCAGTGGCCGTAGGCTACTTTTCGTGGTCGTAGTTTGGACACTAGTTTCCGGTTTTCGGAGCCGTCAGCCGTGCGCCTCGGTTCAGGACCGCTTAACTTTCTCCGTTTGCTCCGATTTTTGGCACACACCTTGTTTCCTCTCTCTAGAGGGACACTGTGGCCCGGGAGGCCACCTTTGTGGTCGCACGCCACTTTCGATGCTTAACAGTCAGTTTTCGGGGAACCTGGCTGCGCGTTTTGGCCCCCCAACCCTCGTTTTGCATCCGTCTTGGTTTATTTTTGGCATGGACTCTATTTTTATTGTTTGGAAGGTGGTACAAGGGCGGGAGGCCACCTTTTCTCCTTGGAGACCACTTTTCTACCGCCAGTCGATTTTCTTGACAGGTAACTGGTCTCCCTCATTTTTGGGCCACAATTGCTGGTCTCCCACCACACCACTAGCTTGCAT